AAAAGCTATCTACTCATCCTTTTTAACATGAGTGACTTAACTCTTGAAAATTAGACTGAAATATTCAATTAATTCCTCGTTAAACATATGGTTATACCTGTCTTATTTGAATGTCACTAGAACCAGCCAAAAGTGTTCAAATTAACAAGTGTTCACATTCTGAGTTTTTTTTAGCTCATTTAAATATAGAAGACTTAATGTGAGATTCCTCCAAATAGAATCAGCGTTCACATCGAGAAATGATCAGGTTAGAGAGGTGTTTGGAGGTTTAATTATAGCATCAATATTAAAACATACAATGAATAGATACCAGGATGACCTGATAATTCTGAACATTTTTAGAGTATCATCCACTGTATTTTCTATTCTGGTTATCCTCATAGTCTATTCATGGGCGTGATTATTTTGTGTTCTTTGATGTCTTCGGAAGATTGGTGTCGTTTGCATTGATTTTCCGTCAACTTTTCGTTTCTCATTTGTTAAAATGTCTCAGAACATGATGTATTTTGATCAAGTGATTTAGCTCATCTTGAAACATAGCCTTAAAGCCTGTTTGCTCATCTATGCTCTACTCTCTAAAATAATTATTCTGAACAAACGTTCCTTGAATGAACTGTCTTACTTCGAGGAATGTTAAAAAGAAGTTAGAACTACTAGATAAGTAGTTATGCCCCACATCTCTCATCCTCTCTAATACCTACTCCCCCAGACAAAGAGCTTGATGTAAAACTTACTATGTCAGTGAAGCCCCAGGCCTTTTTATAAAGCTCAGAAGTTCTTTGGCTCAGTATGCCATATTATTAGATGGGTCAGCTTATTTCTACAAAACGAATAAATCAACCACAAAATATCTATTCACACATCCACCCTAGTGTTCAATGATGGCCAAACGATGGTAATAGAGCATTAAATCATTTCAACCTAATCCCTACTGCAAATGAATGCCTTCATCTAACTGCAAAAATATCTATCACTTTATTGAACTGATTGGGCCTAATCCAGCTAAATCAGTGTGGGATTGGATGGATTGCTTAAAGTTTTATCACACTCCAGATAGCACTTAAATCCCAAATAAAACCAAATGATTGGTAGTTTTTTCGAGAAGAAAGAGGAAGAAAATTAGAAAGTAAGTTGGGAAAGTAAATAAGGTGGAAGTAAAGGAGTTTTAAAGTCAAGGGAGGATTTATGCTAGACTTACATTGCTTCATCCTGATACTTTGATGTCAATTGATGCAATGATGTCAGTTGATATCCGTCTCATGAATCTCTTCAAGTTAAATGCCCCATCTAGCCCCCATCCCTTAAGTCAGCATAACCAGTCATTTCTCTATCCACCATCCTCCTACTAACAATTGTATAACTTGACACAGAAATGAGCAGAAGAATAAATTGTTATTTTGCCTAAATCATTAATTTTCATAATTTCCTCTTCCATCTAATGCATATAAATTCACTTGGGCACCGTTTCTCCTCTTCCCTCTTTGCAAGGCAGAGATGGTCTGAGTGTCAGAATGCCATTTTTTAACATTCCTCAAAGTAAGACAGTTCATTTAAGGAACATAACTACTTATGCTTGGCTATTATAAATGTGATCCCGACTGATCACAATTTATACTTGGCATTACGACTTTGCTCAAAATCTCTCCCAACCATTTCTGCATTGACTTATTGTATTTGATTGATACATAAAAAGCAAACAAAACTACTATCTTGATACTGTGTCACTTGATGCTCTTTGAGAAACCTAGATTTGGTTGTTCTGTTATGTAAGTCAGTTTTTGGCCTACCTAACTGCAATGATAACAAAATTATAACCTGTTAACCTTAAAGACATAATTAAGAGGTTTTGCACAATTTTAGATTATCTTGTTTTGAGATATTAAGTGTTTTAACATTATAGTCAATGGGAAAATAAATATGGAGCTGTTGAAAAAGAATCACATTGTGAGGTGTTTGGATCTGAGAGGTGTTCAAATATATAGTAGAGTGTTCACCTGTATTAGAATCAATAGTCTAGCTTCAAGACCTCGGACCCCTCCCCTTTATCTTTACATTCTGTTGTAAAATAGATAAGGGGGTCAGGATTTTGAAGCAAGAATATGAGATCACAACTTTAGGCATTTAGCCAAGTTTGAATTCACTAATAGCAAGAATCATTTCGAAAATTACATATTATCTCTAGGTATTACTGATATACATTTAACTAATATATTTGATATGTCCTTTATGATAAAAAATTAACCTCTTGAATCCCAGGCTGAATCCCAGGCTCTAAAAAGGTTGAAACCAGAGGATTTTTCATTTTAATGCCACCGTTTGACATTTTATCACCTATACAGCTTTATAAGCTCAACTTAGTAAAATAAGATGGCAAAGAAAAACAATTTTTTGGTGTATATTAGATGAAAAATTTTTTGTCCCTCGTCACTCCAGGTTTTATGAAAAGTGATCTTGAACTTTGATCAAACCGTTAGATACTGTTAGATTCATTTTCTAATATCAAAGAGTATAACTGAACATTTGATTGAACTGATGTTTAATTAATGAAACTGTCAAGAGGCCCAATTTTGATATAAAAAGATTGAATATTATGTGAACTCTGCCATTAATACCAGGTTAGATCCAGTAGTAAAACTCTTGACCTGATTACACTATGTTTATGATAACATATTCTTCAAAACTTACATGTAAAATATCTGGATTGGTTAACCTGAGGCTGTATACTAGATACATTTTTTAAAATAACAATGACAAATACTTATAAGATATTGAAATAGTATGCAAACAAGAAAATGATTGATTTGTATGTTTCATGTCATCATAATTGAATTATTGCCTGTTTACTCACTTTATGCAACAACTATGACCAGCAGGATTACTGCTGATCAATACATATTTTCCGGTCTTGACTTGTTTCTTTACCTCTTCATTTACTGTTTCAATAGTCATTTGGTCCTGCATATTGTTCAGGTTGCCCTAGGAATTTGAAGAGATTCCTCAAGTTTTCATGGATTTGTAAATCAGTTAGAAGCAATTTTCAAAGGGATTCCTTTACACTCTTTCAGTAAAAATAATATTCTGATATTGCTCTTTTATTTAGAAGGATGAGGATGTATTAGCTAATAAATCTGGTTAGTTATGAGGATTTGATTTGCAGTCGACAGAAATAGATATTGTAATTTGAAAAAGTTTGATCAAAGCTCTACATAAGTCAAGTGACGCTTTCATATAAAAAGGCCTCATCCTATCGCCCGTTCTCCATACAACAATGGGAAATAGAAAAACAGTCTCATAATAAAAAAACCTTTTGATGACTTTTCATTGTGGCTTGGTAATTGATCTGATCTGACAGCATAAGAAGAGTCTGACGAATATGTGCATTAGATAATGAAATTATTGATGTATTTATGGCCGACTAATGGCTAAAACATCGACGTTTCATGCGTTTATCCCACTATCCGATTGATTGAGCTCTATCATACGTCTTATTTTTGTTATTATGTATAAGTACTTAATGCAATCCCCAATACTGTACCAGATGACTGGAGTCATTTTCTATTGATAACAGAGCAATCTTTTCTTGAGAACGCTGACTCCCCATTCTGCTTATTGTGAGAGATCACAACCTTCTATCTGTTTCATTTTGTATTAAAACTTGCAAAACAGAAAGAGCATAATTTTTAGTAGTATGAGGCTGTTGTCATGGTGAGTAAATTTTATGATATCAGGTAAGAATATTAGAAAGGATATGACATTCTGTATCCGTGATATCACGTTAGAAAGATTTGTACCTAGTCATTATAATGTTGTCAATTATATAAAACTTTGTAGCAATGAAACAGTCCTTTGGTAGCTCTAAAAAAGGTTCTCCTAACAGAGGTTCAGTGGGTCGTGGAACCCTGAAAAGTGTTCTGCCTAACTAAGGTGTTCCTTTAGACAGTTTCTCTTGTAATTGAGATATACAGTGATGTATTATGACTGGAAGAAAAACACAAAATATTATAATCAAAGGGATGTCTGTTTTAATGGTGATTGATATACCTGAGGGTTTTTATTATCATAGACATCTCGGTTCAGTTTAATTGAAATGAGATTAGGAGTTGTTAGGTTATCTTGAACCTCATGGATATAATCTAGTAAGTTATGTATACTATACTAGACTTGAATAAGCTGCAATTAAGTAGAATCCCACCTTGATCTTTATGAATTCTGCTCTTCAAACCTTGATTGATCTTGAATCTTTAAGATGGGAATTGGGAGGATAACCTGGATTTGTCTCGTGCAGGTCCGTATCTAGTCCCTGTACTGCCCCCCCTCAGTTCCCGTCACCACTGTTTAGGAAATTGCTGGCAGATTCTTAATGCAAGATATGTTAAATAGTTGGTAATAATGGTATACTTTTGGTGTTACAAGCCATACATTCATTGGTACATTTCTATAATTTCTTTCTAAAACCTGAATGAAATTCATAATTTCCTGGCATTATGATTTATTATGTTGACTTAGTATTTTTCTTTTCAATAATTCCACTATTTTTTATATATTTTTCATTTTAAAAATTACCCCAATGAAATTCTTGTCTCAACAGTAAACACACAAATGTTGTTATCTCCCTGTTAACAAGCAGTAGTAACCATGTCAAGTATATTTTGATGTCCCGTTTATTACATTGTAACGAATACGTCAATATTTGCACCTACTTACAACTCTTACAAAAACATATTCTTGGAACTTTCAAATTTCTCTCTTGTCATGCTTTTTCTATGGCCTTGCTCTGTAAATTGTACTTTTCTATCATTTCAAAGTGTCTTTAGTTTACATGGCTAAAATGTTATTCCTCAGTGGATATGGGATATTTATTTTAACATCATTTTTCAGTTACCAAAGGTTCCACCTACAGAGCTTATAGTATATATATATTTTTTGTTGTATGACCATTAACTCTATAAGTAATGATGATCTTTGAATATGATTTAAAATAATTGTTCTATGTATTTCAGTATGAATTCAAAGCAAAGGCCATCAAGAAGAAGAAGGTGCTTATCTCGATCTCAGTAGATGGGGTAAAAGTAGTTTTGCGGAAGAAGAAAAAGGTACGGGAACGGGATGCAGATATATTATTGGTGAGGCTTATTGTGTACGCATGCTGATATGTCCCTTCATAACATAACATATTGGTTTTTAGATATATTTTCTCCAACTGCTAAATGATCCCTTAAACCTGGGAAAGATAAGATTTCAGAATCGCCCAAAAATGTTTAAAATAGTTTGGAACTTTTAAGAATTCTCAGAGACACTAAGGGCAACATTTGAATAATTTCTTTTCCTTTATATATTTAGTCAGGGAAAGTCATCATTCGAATCAGGGAAAGTTAAGGAATTTGAAAAAATTGTGGCAACCCAGTCGCAACATAGATAATACAAAGCATAGTAACCAATATGAGATGATTATGTTGTGGATCATCCCTAGATGTGTTTGGTTCAGTTTATTGAACACATGGATAAAAATTCTATTGATCCTTCATTCTATTTGATGAAAGTATGAACATTTATAAGAGAAAATAGAGCTTAATGAAGACAACTCAAAGAAATGAAGTAGGTCCTTATTGACCTCCATCTTTTGATGGATGATTTCATCTGAACCAAACAGTTTCTGGGCAGTGGCTTTTATCATTGTTGTTTAGCATACATGTTGATTGTTTGAGAATTTAATATTATCCAAAATAAAACCTGTTTATATGAACACCCTTGTATGTTATTTATTGTATGCTTTGTATTGTATATTCACATGTTATAATCAACATATTGTACATTATGGGTAACATAGTGCATTTTTACATGATACATTGTGGGTAACATGTTGCATTATGGGTAACATAGTGCATTTGCATCATAACATGATATATTGTGGGTAACATGTTGCATTATGGGTAATATACTGCATCATGGGAGATTCTGTATTGTAGATGGCACTGCTTTTCTGGTCTAGCAGAGACTTTTGAAGCTAGTACATAATTCACAGTTTTATTGTCTTGCATGCCATGAGCGATGCTTTTAATATTGTTTTTGTGAAATATTTATGTGATATAAAATTCTCCATAAAGTATGCATACAGAACATTTTTATTCTGATTAATGTAAATACAATACATCTTAATGTTTTTTTTTATACGGAAGTCTTCATTAATTTATGGCAAAACATACTTGTTCTGATTAAAGCTGAAATGTTATTAAAAAGAAGTTTAACAAAATGTTTGTCATTCTCTCATCTCTGCCATCTGAACTGTTTCCAGAACACTTATAATGGTCGTAGTGAGATTTAACACTACACATACATTCAGGTCTCTTCAAAAGTAGTACTACAATTCTTCTTGTTAACTGTAGTCTAACACTTCCCTGAATTACTCCGCCAAAAACAGTTTAATTGTTCTGCCTCAACATACCTTAACATACCTCAACATACCTTACTTACCTTAATCAAGTAATATTCAGATGAATGATCCAATTATAAGAATATAACAATGAACTTGTAAACATTCCATTTAAGAAACTGTAAGAACATTCTAATTGACAATAATAAGACTGCTCTGTTTTTAATAATCCTTCATCATTTAATCATTTAATAATCCTTCATCATTTAGTATTTGATGTGATTGAATGTTCATATACATTTCTTTCTATTCAGGTAAAACAGTCAGAACTATTGACTAACTTGGAATAATAGGTAATTGCTAGAGTAATAATAAACAGTATTTCTTGTATAAATAGCCATGATTAGAACGTCACTATGTTAATGGTCATTGTGTTAGAAATGTTATAGAGTGGAAATGAGGGGAATCAACAAGGAATAAACTATACAGGCATGTAGTTGACATGCTATATTGTATAGACATGACTAGAATTTAGGGAAGTGTGAAATAATGTAAAATTATGATGTCACCACCACAAATAATGACATATGGTCTCCAACTTTTTTGTTGTGTTTGGCATTTGGCATTTGAATGTCGGACAGTGTCTGTAACAAATGGCAGGTGGTATGTGTCAATGTCAATGTCTTGTATTATATTAATTGTTCCATTTTCCTTGAAAATATATAGAATGATATGTGCTTCCATATAAACCATTTCTGTTATTTAATGATATACCAGCACTCCTGCCTGATATAAAGCAAGCAATATATAATCGCTAATCAAGCAATATATAATCTAATCAAGCAATATATTTAATAATATATTTAGGAGGATTCTTAAATGCATATTAAATGAAATGAAATGAAGAGATATTATACTCATAAAAACAATTCTAGTTCTTCTAGCACGCTTTTCTGCAGATATTTTACCTAATGTATCATAAAACATATTAAATGAAGAAATATCTCATATAATCCATAAGTGTTTTTCATTACCAGATATAATAGCATAAAGTGATGAATATATTTTGTTTGGGGAATCAGTTAGTATTGATTTATCATTTTTTCATCAATGCTCTGTGATTAAATATGTTATGATGAATGCAAACTTTGATAATTAAACATAATTAGATCAGTGTTATCCTAAATAAAACAATTTTTGGGGTTTAAAATAAATTTGATATAATTTTTTTTTCTAACTTTTATTGACATATTGCTTATAATATGCACCAAGATTTTTACATGTGTGCATCATTTTTTGTTGAAAACCAGATGCCTTGTGAACAAAATTCGATGGTATAATAATTTTGGTAACATTTGATATAATTTTCTTGAATAATTTAATGACTCAATGTTTTTCACCTTGAAGGAAGACACTAAGTCATTTGAAGAGAGATAGTTGATTTATGGCTGCATGAAATATGACGTGAGGAGTCTTAAGGGGTTCTCTTTGATCTACGATTGTAAATTAGATCATTAAAGACAATCATAGCAAGAAATATCATTTTCTCTGAAGAACTCCATAAGTCATTAAAAGTGAATATAGATTTTCCTAACTACTTTTATTACTTCTTCTTTAGTACTGGCCAAGGTGCCCTTCTTTGACTAAAGTTAAAAATCAATGATGACATTTATCGGCAAATTCATAACATAACATTACATAAAATTCTTCATTTATGAAGGTAGGGCACCATTATCAAGTTAATTTGTTTTTATTAGAAAATAACCTTTTGTGCAATACGGCTGTATGTTAAGTTTATTGCATGAATAAAAGTTAATTTCCTTCCATTTTTCTTATTTCCAGCTCCATCTCCTCAAAGTTGAGTCCTCTCTTTTATAGATCCCGTGAACATGCCTTTATGAAAACATTTACAATGTTAGATTTTTCGTGCTCATTTCATTCTTGGCCAAACTTCATATTTTTTTCCAGGATAACTGAAGCTACTGATTTTGCCTTTAAAAATAATTATTTTACTAAATAAATCATCAAAGCAAAAACTTCTTTGGAAAAAAATGCCAGCAAACCTGGAGTAAGTCTAGCATAAAATGAATGTTTGTTTTAATTAACCTTCAGTAAACTTGGCTTGTTTTCATTTCTCTTTTATTAAGGTAATTTGTAGATCAACCAAACATTGACATTGATTTTTGTCCGAGAACACCTTTCTGAGCCTTCGGAGACCTTTCCATATACATGTAGAGTGGAGTGTGGTCATATTTGGGTTAGTCTAACACTGTAGTATAGCCATCATACTGATCTGGACACTAGTGGCAATCAGCTCGTTAATATAACAGGTTCAGTTGACCCATGAGAGAGACAGTCACATACTCTTTTTCTTACCTGACCTTTATCAAGTGTCTGTTTTTGTGCAGGTTACAGGTAAATGTTCATACGCATCATACATGTAAATCCTCCTATAAGTTCTCATTTTCTCAATCCCAATAATATACATTTGTATACAGTAAGTATAACATAATTTCATATCAAGAATGATCAAAATAATGTTTGTTTTTCTAACTTTTTAATGTTTTGTCTTTTCAGAAGAACCAATGGGCATATGATGAAAACAGAATGCTCGTTATGGTCCATCCAATTTACAGGTAAAAATAGGGTTAGTCTTGCACCATGGTCTTTGAAACCCCCTGTCAATTTTCCCTTCAATTTTCCCTTCCCTGCGTGGGAATGGAGGGGGGGGGGGCAATACTGGGTTAATGCAACAAGTGTAAAATCATCCCACCAAAATTCAAAAAATTGTATATGCTGCACAAATCTTTTAAAACATCCTTTGGATATGTACTCGTATATGAGAAATGTACCTTTCAGTTCTTAATTATATTTTATAAGGTAAGCTGCTCTTGCATCTTAAACATTTATTTTTTAAGGTAAGTGAGTTGTCAGTAGTGGCTGTGGAAACATGATCAAATATCTAGTTATTGAAAAATGTGATTAATTTTGTTTGTTAATTTATTTTGAATTGTATTTTTGTTTGTTTGAATATAATTTCCCAAATTCTCGTGTACCTTCTTCAGTTGACCTATGGGCAAAATATTTCAGAGCTTCCTTAATTGTATATTTTTTTTATTTCAGGATCTTCTATGTATCACATGACTCGCAAGACCTCAAGATATTCAGTTATATCGCCCGGGATGCAGCTACAAATGTTTTCAAGTGCAATGTTTTCAAATCCTATAAAAAGGTAAGGAGGAGAGGAGAGTAAAGTGTTTTTCTAACCTTGAATATTTGGCACTTTCTTATTATATGATATCATTCAATTTAACTATTTTTTATTATTTATTTTGGTATTGGAAATCTTTTTTTATATCCCTTTCCAATTTTTATCGCACTCTCAAATTCTTATTGCAAGCTTATTTTCAATTTAAGGGTAATGGTACACAGAATCAAAGTCCATTTCGTAGGCTTTATTCAATTATATCCAGAAATTGGATTCGTAATTAATTCCCTGTAAAAATAAGCTTCGAGACAAATATTATAGAATTACACTTTCTAGCCTAAGGCCTCAGGACAAATAGAAGAAAAGGTCTGACCAATATTGACTCATAAAGTCATTTGAGAATCTTCCTGATTCCGTGCATGATCTCCATAATCTAGGTAATGCATAAAGATATTCTTATTGTGGTTCTGCTAACCTATTATTATTTATATTAAAATTTAGAATTCATTTTGTTCCTGTTTGATCCATTGTTTCATGCATTTTATTTTGAAGGGATTTCTTGTTAATCCAGTGACATACCGTCTTGAGGCTACTAAGGGGACGTTTGGATCAATACAATTATCAGAGCATTTTGAAAATGTAATTTATGCTGAGAAATCCAACTTTCCATTAAGATTCAGAACATAGAAATAATAGGTGACATATACGTCATTGCAATGTCCATGAGCTTACAAAGGGGTTTGAGTGGATTGAGTATCCTTCAAATATCATTTCTCGAAAAATATTGATATTTAAATGTAGTAAAAGAAAGAGATGAGCTTGGGTGAATTTCCATATTATGCCATTTTCTACAAACATCCAACAGATCTGTCACCAAGATTTTCATAAATTGAAATTAAAATTGTAAGGGAAATATTGGCATATACTTTTTGAAACGATTTCTCTCAACATTTTACACACCATCCCTTATAATACTTCAACACTTCGATCATGTCAGGTTTCAGGACTAATTGGTTATCTGTTATATAGTATCATACCCACCGATAATAATTTTTGAGATTTTTATATTATTATATGCAGTTTCCCGAGGGCTCCTAGAAATAGAAAATGCCTGAATCATTTATTAGATGCCATAATCGTTTTTAGTTGTTTCAGAACCCTCAAGAGAAACATTCAATTATTTGGACTTGATCTGCAGCAAAGTACATGGGTTAAGCCTCAGAGAATGTTTTGTTACGATCGATGGAATTATATAATTGATGGATGTTTTTGTTAAGTTTTTAATGTATATCGGCATTTCTCTGTGATATATAAACTTTGGAAAGTTATGTCGACATAAGAGTGGAAATTCAATGAAAAAGAGTGGAATCAGCTGTAGCTTATATAAAGTTTTATAGAGAAACGCCCTTTGAAATATACCGCTCAGCTTATAGAGAAATATCAGAAAATGTGGGCATGACAGTTCTTTTATTTTTAAAACAGAAAAACTGGGTATGTCTAAGAACAAAGCTCATGCACGGTTCAGCAGGTGTCAATCAATATGAATGAAGATTGACATTTCCTTATATTTCTGAACAAATAACCAGAAGAAATGAAACGTTAAGTTTTTGTAAAGGTTGAGTTTGGTCAATTTAGAGAAAATATTTCAACCAACTTATTGAATTTTCGTAGAGGGTTGAATTTTAAGGTATTGTATTTCTTTGATTTGTTTCTTACTGTTTCATCAGAATTATAGTTTTTGTCACATGATCTCAATACTTCCACACTTAAAATGGACCATTATGTAGCAACTCTAATCTGGAAGCTATTGCAGGGGAACTCTTCAAAAAGAGAGATTATAAGGCTCAGACTGAAGTGTTTTGTTCTCAGTCTTAGAGTCTCCGCTTATCGAAAGAAGGAGATCTTAATTGTAGCTATAGCGTCGCCATGGTTATTGTGAACAAATAAAAATTGATGAAATGGTTAAGTTACATAGACTTCAAAAACCCTTTATAAGTACACTTGTCTGTCTGTTGGAATCAAATTGTATTGAGTGTGTTTCCCCTCACTTAAAAGAACACTCATCTGTCACTTTTCTGAATAAAATGTGTATGGTCGGCATTTCCAAATAAGTGTGTGATCGGCATTTCCAAATAAGTGTATGGTTTTTCTCGGATGAGTTTTTTGTTATGATGTAAGTTGACAAAAAGCTTAGTTAAAAAGGATTTTGTGTCTATTTAACAAAGCTTTATGTCAAAATGCTTATTAAGAAATCACTCACTATATTTCATGCCAAAAAAATGAGTTAGAAATCAGTTTTTTGCTCATTAGTAAGTTGTATAATTGAATGTGTTGCGCTTGCCTATCCACCATTTTACTCAATTCCCTGGTGATTCAACTTATTTTCCTTGTAATGACCACCGTGACATTGAACTATAATGTAGCTGACACTATACTCTGTTAGCAGACTCTCTAATCATTTATGCCTATCAATTATTTACAGGGAAAATTAATAGGATTCTGTCAGGGAACAAAACCCAGAGGGAAAGTGTCAACTTATAATGGTGAAACAGCAAGGAATAAAGCAAATGGGTTTCCAGTGGAAGGTTGGAACTCTATAGAACTCTATAGAAAAACAGAAAGTCAGACTCTTCAGAAATATTATGGAATAGCCTCAACTGACTATCTCATTACATTTTGTTATTTTAATTTGCTGCCAATTTGGTCTCAACATTGAAATTATGACACTTAATTTAATGCTAATCCTAAAATGTTATGGATGGTCATTAAGCCTAGCCCTATAAATTTTAGGGGTAGGGGTAAAAATTGCGAAAAGAGATAAGAAATGGAGGAAATTTTCGGCACAGTTGCTTTTTACACCCAGGAAGGTTGTCTGGTCATATATGGAAAGTTCCACGATTTGTTCCGTTTTCGGCGCTTTCACCCTTTTTTATGTCACCATTTATCTCTCTACTATAAGAATTTGATTTCTGTATCATTTGGCGTTATATTTTGTGGGTTCTGGCTTGTTTTGAGTTGTGCTAAGCGTTCCCCTCTTGTTTTAATTTTAGGTAAAATTATCAAACTCAAGAATGATTGATAAAAATTGATTACTTAAATCTATTATTATTCAAGTTTAGGGGAACCTTTTGTATGTCTGCTGTATCTGACAGCACAAACTAGAGCGATCTGGTGGTGAACCGCAAAAGTGGTACCTAGATTATTCTTTGTTCTTTGATCAGTAGTTCTGATATTCTTACGACACACTCTAATGTCAGCATATCAATTAATAATCATGACAAAACAATCAATTATCAATTATTTACATTGCAATTATATATTACAATATATATTACGTATAATGACAACTCCCAACATTTATGTAATTGATATTTGGCAGAGATCATTGGCAGAATACTTTATTCTTGTGACGCTCCAATTCTGATATCACGATTAGTATTCAACTTGGATCTATTCCCTTGAGTAGATATATTAAGTTGGATTTGCATTAAAATGAAAATAAAGCTAGTGAAAGGGTAATGAGCGGGAAATAAATTCGATTTTGTTTATAGTTTGTTGTTTGATTTGAAAATGCTTCATAAAATGCTAAAAATTAGACTGTTATGAAAATATTAATTGAACACAAATAATCAGTGAGAATGATTCTAAAAATGGGTCTTGAACTGTTCCATCATAATCATTGTGACGTGCCTTATTTCTTGTTGAGTATGAACTAATAGTTAATGATCGTAAGATTATTTTTTCATTGTAATTTATCATTGCTAATGTCAGTTTCACTGTTATGCAAACATAACAGATATAAGAGAAATTCTATAGAGCTTTTTTCAATAGCACTGGCATTTGTCGACTGATAGCTAACATAATATTTAAAATCTGCCATTTATTTTCCATAAGTGAGGTGCTTTTTGAAAGGGAACATTTATGTTATGTCATCCTTTCTCTTGGTATATCATGTGGGATGTGCTTTGTACTCCTGCGAAATTTCAATGAAAACCCCATAAGAAAGCCTATATTTTAATACCAAGATGGGTGAAACTGAATGTCTGGCATTTTCATGCATTTTCATGCATATACAATGCTACATGCAAATCTCTGGTCCGAAAGCCTGAAGCATGTCCCTCAAGGCATGACACAATCATTGAGGATAAATAATGGATAAATCAGTGACATTGTTCTGTAACGAGAAAAAGCTATTAGCTATTTAAATTCCCATATGAAGTGCAGTCAGTGTACCTTGAGACAATAAGAGTAAAAACTAAGGTAACAGCGCCCTAGGTCCTTTAGCCCCATACTTTATCATGAAAGCTAATTTTGAATAATTTTGAATAATTTTTCATATTATTAATTGAAATTATTTATTTTACTTTTATACTTTTATTTGTGTACCTCTCATTGACTTTATTTTCATGTGATTATGATATTCTAATTGTACCCAGAATGATTCTACCAGTTATTATTGGAGGTTATTTGAAGCGTCATGCAATCTTTAACTTCAGTTATTCTATCAATGATATAATTAATTATTCATTTGTTGAAATCATTACATGCTTGTTTTATATCTGCCCCTGCACACTCCATTCAAACACCTTTGGGGGCCTGGAGATACGATGAAAGACAAACTATAACATATTGAATGTGAGTGAAGACTCATATAGATAGCAGGTCAGTAATGGGGTTCTTAACTTTAGAGTATGTGTATATTTTATTGTCATAAAACCTAAGAAATAATGCACAACATAATCCTGTCCTCAAAATTCAATTCAATTCAATAACAGGATGTTAGGGGTGGTATTATTATTGAAATAATCAGTATATATAATGAGACCCACTAAATTTTATTCCTTCTTTTGACAATCTCCAGTATTATTGCACTTATTTAGGAATTAGTTTAGCTATCATGACATCATGAGGCAGGTTGGCCAAATAATAGTACATTATATTATGTAATAATGAAATACTCACTTTAAGAAGTATTAATTGTGATAAGACCTTTAAATACGAAACTAGACATCTTTGTCAAAATA